TTGGGCCCATTATCCCTGATTAGCTCAGTGTTGACTGAATATTAAGTGACAGTGAAATGGAATTATTATAAACTGTTCTCTTTGTCAATACGTTCATTATTATTCCATTACCATATTTCATTTTGTGCTGATTTATTCAGCCATGAGGCAGTAGTTGATAAGATAACAAACACATAGCCGACCTTCTTACCAAACGTCACATTGCAATTTCATACAAGAACGCCATCATGCCCCTCGTTCGCATGCCAACAATTTGCCTTCTGCTTTTTGGTCCCTTTAGGGCATACAAAGCTATGAATTCTATGATCAACGGAATAATTTAAGTACTATTACGTCTAGGGTATTACTCCAATTCCTCCGGTTGTTGTTCCATCTTTTTGTCTCCCGAAGTTCGCACAGGTGCATATTTTGAAACCAGCTTACAATACACCGCTTTTAATAAGTGCAATGCGGGTTTAGCAAATGAGATCACGTAGATGCATGTGCTACCGCTGGTGCTTAATTGTGTCTGATCCATGGCCTGCAAAATTGTCCCCTATGAGCAATCGGTGGGAGAGAGCAGCAAAACCCGCCGTCAAATATGGTGTCAGACAGTTATACGCCACCGCTACCTCACGTGTATCCTCGTTTTACTTCAGAGAGAGAGAACATGCAATCTTGTCACATTTCAGAAGTTTGCTTCCAAGTGGCGAAAGCGAATTATGATATTCTCACGTTTTTATATGAGCCTTCAAAGAACTGTTTTTTTTCTCGTTTATGAATCGTTACACACACACACATCATGATAAATGACATACCGTTTTCTCTTCCTTTCAAAATATTGTTAAATATCATTGCAGTTTTTAATGACGGCATCCTTCTCTTGCAAATATTCTTGAATGGCATGTAGAGCCTTTGAAAATTGGCTGATCCTAAATAAGATTATTTATATAAGTAGATAAAATGTTTTTATTTTCATACGAAAAGTACTTATGTCACTTAATCGGCGTGAAAATCTACTTTATTGCCAGGTCATATGTTTTCGACTGCGACGAATTTGTTTGAATTTACGAATTAATAATGGTCGTAATACTATTGATAATATTAGTTACTCGAAGGACAGGTACAAAAGAGCTTGCCCGACGCTGAAAGACCCCCTTGTCTTTGATATGCTTTGTGATGGAGAGTTTAATTTGATAATATTCGTAAGAGTTTTTGTGTCAAGTGCTTGCATGTTCGGAATGGATAGTGAGTACCATGAGAAAACAATGCGCCCTATACTCAAATGCAGGTCAGGTTTCATTGGGATGACGGGTTGAACCGTCGCTGCTGCAAGCCTGTTCCGTTGGCTGCTAAGCTGACGTTGAAGGCCACAGTGTCTTGGAGGGAAAAATTTTTGTACAGACCATGAGAAGGTTTGACATGGCAGATGTCGATGACTCGTCTACGCGGAACGTTGTGGGCATCAACAGGAATGCGCGAAGATTGGTATGTTCCGTGAGAGCTACAAAAATATGAACGTTTTTTTCTGGCTGTTCCTTTCAATCGAAGTTCTGCTCTATTAACAGGCTCATCAGTGATCTAAGTTTGCATCATATAGATCGATTGACTCAGCAAATATGCTTTTTATTTTTTGAAATAGCTGCGGATCACCGCTAATTCGATGAAAAATAGTTTACCATATATAATTTACATGTACGCATACTCCGTCTGTGTGCTTTTTCTGCTGCCACAGCCAGAACGACACCGTTTTGCATTAATGGTGTTCTTCGTCGACACAGTCTGCTTGCGTGTCTTGTGCGCACCGCATGTGCAGCTGGATTGTAACCGCAATTTTTCATTTCCAAAGAAATTTTAATGAGACACATTGCTAATTCCAAAACTTGGCTTTGATGACTTATTTCAAAGGTTTTCCTCCACCTTCGTTCCTCCAAAATTGGTAGATTTAATGTGAGAATTGCTTTATTTGGTAGGTTTTACATTATCCTTTCAGATGTCATTACATCCGCTACGGTAGTTTATCTTAACCGGTTGTATCGGGCCTCCACGGTTTATATTAAACGAACCAACAACGATTGTACACAAAACTTCTAGCTGATCAATGTGTACAAATGATTACAATAATTTGGCTTCATTTTAAACTATAAATTATTATTTTGTGGACAGGTGTTCTACAGCAGTTTATTGCCAACGCGTTTCGCCACATACATCGTAGCAACAACAGGTCAAAGAGACAAATTGTTGTGCCGTTTACTCTTTGGTGCCCTGGACCATTAATCGTTCAAATGCCTATCTATATAGCAATAGGCCCATCAGAAGCACAAACCTGCAGTATTGTTCAAATTCTTAATTTGTGCTTGACGTTGACGCCTGCGCAAAATAAGAAATTTTCCTGTAACTGAATTTAAGTGACCTCGGCGACTGTCACAGCTTGCGAAACCATTAAACCACAATGCATTTCAAGCGGTAATGCTATTTCTTATTACGATCATTGTCCAAATCCAGCCTTACAGTAAACTGGTTTCATCAAACCCTCTTTAGATCTTCCTTGTTAAACAGTTTTCATACTGTACTTCGCCTCTTATCGAATAACAAGTGAGTACTGTCGTCCCGTGCGTCTAAAGAACCGTTAGACAGGAGTTCACACGTACACAATGGAAACTGCATCGCTTTAAATGCACTGTTTTCAGTGGTGAAACATTCGTGAGGGAATCTGACTGGCGCTTGTGCCACACTCTGGCGTCAACGACGTAAAAACCCCACAAACAGCAAGTTCACAATATAAAGTGAGTAAATGTTTACTCAGATGCAAATATTCAGCCGGGCTAAATTATTTTCTGAGCCACGATGATGAGGTAAAAATATTCGGCATATATTTTTGTTAAACGGAAACAACGCCAGAAACTGATAATGTCACTCTTGTGATAGAGGAAGTTGTTAATCTTGCCAGGCAATTAGATTTCGAAGTCAATAGTGATGTCGTCAACGAGCTGCTGGATTCACACAATAAGAAGCTGACAAGTGATGAGTTCCTAGAGATGCGTGAGCAAAATTTCACTGAAGTATCCGACACTTTAGACCCAGTTCTACCAGAAAAGCAAATGACAGTTGCAAGCTTCACAGAAAGTCTCAGCTCAATTCAAAAGGGCTTTAAAGTTTTAGAAAACATACACTTCAACGAAGAACACGTTACGGCTACGAAGCAAAGAATAAAAAAATTGTCAGCTTGCTACGAAGAAATTCTGCGTGAAAAAGAAGGCCTTGTGTCGTCAGACGAAATTGATTCATGAATTTTATGAAGCCATAGACATCGAAATAACATTTTTAC